CCCCAAAACCCCAAAACCCCAATCCTCTATCATAGAACACTGATCTGTGATGTATTAATCAAATTGATAAAAATATTGAAAAATGGAAAGTGAAGCAAATGTAAAGTACTCTTACTAAATAAATGGAGCTCTACTTACAATTTTACAGAGTCGACTGGCATAAAATAAAGTGAACTAAGATGCTCTTTTGTTTGGTTAAATTAATACTCAATTTATTGAGAAAACTAATGATAAGCAGGATAAATTTACTATGGTTTAGCATACGATATGCTTTAATGAGGCAGTAATTCTCGAGAGAGATTATTTCTTTTAGGAAATCGACAGATAACTTATCAAAAGTAACATGATATATGAGTAAGATCAGATAAAAGGGATGATTAAATCTTTTTCAAATCAGTAATTCCTCGGCTTTTGTTATTTATCGAAATCATTTGATTAAGAAATGACTGATATTGATCTTTAAAGATGCGAATTTTTGCTTATGTCCCTTGGCTTGGATAAGGTGTACTTTGGTCTATTTTAAATGCAAACTTAATCAGCTCATGATAACCAGCCTGAGGAGGGTTAAAACTATGATACCAAGTACATCACTAAATTTGAGTATAAATTATTTGAGATTTCACCTAAAGAGATAGGAAGGACCAGATCGAGTGAGCTGAAAGTTTAACCTATAAAGCTTTCAGTGTTGAATCTCGTTAATACTTCACCAATAGATAGTTCATTGGCTCCGATGCAATAATACTAGTTTGTGACAAATGATGTGATAAAATAAATGGACAGAATTGCAGGTTAAGTTAAAGATGAGATAATGTAAATAAATTCAAACAGAGAGAAATATTTTAGTGAGCTTAGGGCTAATGAAAAGTAGTATGCTTTGATGGTTAATTAAAATCAAGCTTTAAAATAAAGGTATTAATAGTTGAAAAGAGAAATCAGCGAATTAATGACAATGCAGTAATAATACTGACTTTAGTTTATTTAATTTTCCTAAAAATTAATATTTCTTTTTACTTGGGGTTTTGGGGTTTTGGGGTTTTGGGG